TTAGTCTTGGTATAACCAGAATTACAGAATCTACAAACCTCAGATCACAGATAATTTTGCTAAAATAGGTCTATTTTTTCAAAATTTGTTACCGATAGGAATTGAATATTAGATCTACTGCTTGGAGGATGACAACCTAACTACTACACTAGAATCACTATTCTTAATTAAAATTTTATTAAATATTTTGATACAAGTATTATATAATAAATGTTTTAAAATTTAAAAAATTAACTTCTATTGATGATATCTTAGCAACTACTTAATTAAATTCAATAAATTTTTTTTTATTTAAATTTTACAGATCTGTAAAATGCAAATAAAAAAAAATTATTAAATTTGAATATATAATTGCTAAGATATTATTAAAAAATATATTAAAAATTTTTATACTAATTCTATATAATAAATATTTAAAATCTTATAAAATTTTAATTAAAAAAATAGGTTAAAGTCTACTTTTTTATAATAACTTTATTTTTTAATATTAAAGTTTTTATCTTCAGAATATAATATTTTTATTCAAGTATATAGAACATAGCATGCCACTAAAGGCTACTTTACATTGGAGCTTACAATTAGTCACATATGCATTTTTGGTTTCTAATTTAAGTAATTTGCTTATTTATTACTATATAAGTTTTATATTTGATGCCATACCTGCAAGCCATCTAGAGGTCTTGTCTATTTGAGATCTTGTCTATTTAAACTTTCTGCATATGCAAGTATTCTTGCATCACAAGAACATCTTCAAGACTATACCTATCTAAGTTTCTAATACTAGTCAGTATTCTTAAAACTACTTTATTTTTAACAAAAAACTTACTAGAGCTTTTATATTCTATATATACTAATCTAGTTTATTCAACATGCTATAGTTATCTAAGATTTGCAATTATAGAGGTTATTTGTTTAACTGCTATATTATACTATTTCTACTTTTGTAAAGTTCACTAGAATCCTAATACCTATCTTTCTAGCATTTTCTTTATCATTCTCTATTAGCTGCAACTTAGAACCATTAGTCTCATTTCAGATTACCAATTCAAATAGTTTGATATAGTATACTTTTGTATTTTTTTTCTTTAGTAAGTTTGTTAGCATGATTGGTTATATGCTCTTTTATACATATTTTGTTATCTGGTTTTAAATTTTAGTTTTTATAAAGGTGTTTCATAGGCTTCAATCAGTCTAATAGTACTGTTAAAAGTTCATGCTACCTCTTTACTTAAGAATTTTTAAGTAAATTTCTATCATCTTGGTTCTTTAGTCTTCTATGCCTAATGGTTTTATTATAGGTTTGCACCAAAGTCTTATGTAATACCAGTTATATATTTTTTTATATACATATAATATTATATTTCACATAAATGCTCCAAGCTCTCAATTTTAGTAGAATCCAACTTTGTATATCTAGGTTACAGTCACATAAGGCCAACTGATCAACAGAAGACAGTTACCATAATGCAAATATAATTTTTATATTTTGTCATAAGTGGAATTTGAACTTTAGACCTGTTACTTAGAAAATAACAATCCAACTACTGCACTAGAATCACTATTCTTTATAATAACTTTTTATTATATATAATAATTCTATAAAAAAATAAAGTATTTGTATTAAATATAAGTATATAAACTAAAAAAAAAAATTCAAAAAAAAATTTTCAAAAAGCAAAATTGATAATCATTGATTTCAAATTTGATTGGTTGATTATTTAGAATCATTATGAAGATAAGTCAACAATGTATTTTTGTCTAAACTTAATATTTTTTAAAATTTTATTTTTGAAAATACTACAATTAACTTATAGTGATTATTACTACTTCTATTTTTAGAATTAGAGTGCAGTTTGAGACAAAGGCAAGAATTAGATATAATAGTTTAAATTTTAGGTTTTCAAATTCTGAATATTTTTACTTAGTCTATCTAATCTCTGTTTCTTAGTATATTTTTTGAGATATAGTCTCTAAGTAATAATTACTATAGGTTATAGTTAGTAATATTTACTATTTTTTATTTTATATTGCTTATATAATATAATAATAATATAATTAATAATTATGGTTTACTTTATATTTAAACTTAATATTTTTTAAAATACTATTTTTTTAACTCTTCTTAATGATCCCTCACACCAACTTTTTTTCAAAAGTCTGATCTATGAAAACTATATAGTTATTATATTTAAATATAACAAAACTCTACTTTGGATAACTAGGGAGGCTATTCACTGCATGTTTAGTTGTAACTAAAAAGAGCTGAAAAAGATTCGAACCCTTGTAAGTAAAGTTCCTTGATAAAACAGAAGTACTACCAAGCAAAGAAGTAGTAAATAAGCTCTGAAGCTTTGTCAAGTGCTATAAGGGCTTAGGCCTAAATAGTTATTTGGTTTAATATAATATTCTATATAGATAACTCTTACAACTCCTTTTTAAGTTGGCTTTTCTTTCCGCTCTTACTACTAAATTTTTTTTTTAAAATTTTTATCAAAAAGTGGGAAATCTGGCATATCCTCTTCAAAGAATCGACATTGTTTAACTTTCCAAATCAGTAACGTTAGTCATGAGAAAACCATGAGACAAGTATTGGACCTACAATAGATAACATATGTCAAACTCAAGAGAAAAATAAAAACTTCAACCATTCTCCCTATATGATAAATAGAATATATTATAATATGGAGATAAAGCAAATATGGTGTATTCTTTATTTAGTATTATACAGAATTTTTAAAGCCTGGCATAGGCAAAAATAGTGCCTTCATGTTTTTTGTTTTTTCTTTATTCTTCTTTTTTATCTTTTTTTTTTTTAGTTTATGTTTAGGGTTTGTAGTTAGTTCCTCCTTTTTTTATTTTCTTTTAGTTTTTCTTTCTTATATTTTATTGTTCTTTAGGCAAGGATTATAAAATTCTCTTGCTCAATAATTAAAGGAAAGGAAAAAACAAATTGAAGATAAAGCTAGAAAGACAATTTTAAAGCTTGTTATAAAAGAAGGAAGATCCTTTTATTATGGACTTTAAGTAGTCAGACAAATGGTTTACTTCTGCTTGAAATAATGTGACAGGTTGCATTTAGGCACTATTAGGATGGCCAGGTGATGCTAGACTTAGTTGTTAAATAGATCTATGTAATTGTAGCAATTGCAAGAATTTTAATAAAGTACTAGCATGACTGTCTATAGTTAAAAAAAAAAATCTATAATCTGTATTACTATTATTGTTTTTATTCAGGTTATTATTTTAAACTTAGATTATTATTTTAAACTTAGATTATTTTATCTTTAAAATAAACCTTTCAAAATCTTAAATACCTATTTTTATAATTTATTTAAATATTGTTATAATAAAATCAATATTTGTAATTAGAATTAGTCATTAAACTATTATGTTCTTGTAGAATTTACTCAAACCTTAGCATCTATTTTATAACATATCCTTAATATTTTAGTATACTTTTACTTGTTTTTTAGACTTTCAATTTAGATAGTCTATATAAAACTATAATTAATCAATTAATATATTAAATTTGTCTAATATTTTTTTCTTCTAGTTCATTCTAATAGTCTGGTTGGTAGTATCTTCTATTTTGAAAATTTTTTTTGTTTAAATACTTTATTATTGATATCTGTTTTTAATAATTTAATTTTTATAATAGTATTATCAAAATTTTGTACTACTTTATACTCAAGTTTTTTTAAATAAACTTCTTGTTTTTTAATTTTAATAGATTTATATAATCATAAAACTTATTTAGCATTTGTACTACTTGATATTAGTTTACATTTTTCTGTATAATCAGTTATACAAATATCTTAAAATTTGCTAATTATACTAGTATAATCATCATTACAAGTATCTTAATCTAATTGTTAAAAACAATTGTTATAATATGAATATTATATAGATGATTATTAAATTTTTATTATTAATAAGATTTGAATATACAATCTAATACTTAAAGAGTTGACAACTTATTCACTTTACTAAATTATTATACTTTTATTTAAATCTTTTAATTAAACAGAATTTTATTAATTTTTAATTAAAATTTATAACTAAAAAAACAAATTTATTAAAAAAATAATAAAATATTAGTATCTAGTATAATGTAAATAGTAAAAATAATAGTACAAATAAATAGTATTATTTTAAATTTAAAATTATATAAATAAATAAATTAATTATATAAATTTTTTTTAATATTAAGATAAGGTTTTGCTTATATTTTTATTACTAATTTAAAATAGTTATATGTATATATTGTATATAAGATTTAAATTAACATGAATTTAAAACTGAGATGTATCAGACTAAAATTTGATTTTAAAATACATTAAATTAATTTATTATATATCAAAACTAAAATAAATAAATAACACATATAAAATTTATTATATAACAATTTAAAAGCAATATAATCCAAATAATTGCAAAATACAAATATTGTATATATTGCACTATACAACTAATTTATTATATATATTTAATCTAAACTAGAATTTTATTGTTGTATATTTTTTTACTATAATATTTACTTTTATATTTAATTTCAGATTTTTTACAACATTTATTAGTATTACAATTACTTTTACACTTGTATATATTTTTTGTAAGAATATTACTATTATTTTAATTTTATGCAACTTCTTTAATAGATATATAATCTGTTAAAATATTATTCAACTCCAGGTATTCTTTTATACTTAATAGTTCTAATTTAATATACTACTTTTGCATTCTAGTTGATATTTAAATGTTTTATTATAATTTAACTTATTTAAAATTTTGCATGAAAGTATAGATTAATCTGTACCAAATTGATCAATTTTGAGTATAAAAATTTTTATATATTTTCTAATTTTATATTTTAGTTTATATTTAGATTTAACAATTATTATAAAAGTTATTTTTGTTGTATAAATCTTTAAATTTTGTTAAGCAAATTTTTATAATTCTTAATATACTGTTAATAATTAATTCATTAAATCTTATAATAGTTAAGATATAGAATATTTGAAAGTTAGATTAATCTAAATAATATTAAATTAAAATTTATTTATATAATTAATATTATTATTAATAATAAATATAATAAAATAATTATATACTATTTTTAAATCTTGATTTAAACTAGATTTGATTACAGATATATTATTATAATTATAATTATTTATTAAATTATCTAAATTTAAATTATCTAAACTTGAATTTTGATATAAATATAATGATTTTACTACAGATATAGTATCAATAATAGTACCTTTATCCAAATTTGAATCTTGATATAAACTTATTGAAGTTGAATTTTGATTTGAATTTATTGAAGACTCAATTAATAATAAAGTATTATGAATCAAATTATCCAAGTTATTGATTAATTCTTGAATCTTTTTCTGATTAAATTCATCTATAATTTCATCTTCATAAAAAATATTATTTTTAAATAACTAATTAATAATTATAAAATTGTCATGTAGAATTTTATCAAATACAAGTTTATAAGATTTTTATTATATGCTTTGCAAATTAAATTATATATTATATAAACTACAAATTTTAATTTAAATAACCAATTCTATCATTTGTTATCTTTTATCTACTTTTTTAATTTAATTTCAAGAACTTAATTTATTTATTTAACCAAATCTTGGCTAACAGAATAACATTAATAATTTGAATTGTAGACTATAAACTAACTAATTTAGTAGGATATGGCAACTTAGTGAAGTGGTCAAGTTGTTAACTCCCAAGTAGCAAGTTCAGAGTTCAAATTCCAGTATCGACAGAAAATTTAAAAATCCTTTCTGTGTTATAATTAATTGTCTCTCACAATTAGTTGGAATAAAATACCTGTTACTTATGTTACATCAGCATGACTGGCAGCTTATATAGCATTTGTGTAATATTACATGACATTGTTCTTTGAAACAAGGTCTGTAGTTACACAAAGAAATACAAACCATTACTGGGTGGTGCAAACCTATAATAATTTCTTGTGGCTATATAAATTATAGAAACCAAAAGAAGAATAACAGAAGTTTACTTGAAAGTCCCAAGTAAAGAGTTAACCTGAACTTTTGACAGTGCTACTATAAGGATAGACTTATAAAATAGAGCTAGAACTTATAAAATCAGACAAATGTGCTGATTTTTAAAAAAGAACTGAATGAACTAACCAAGCTGCCAGAATTTCTGAATTCTAGAGAAAAAAAGTACATGCCAGCAAACATATAAACCAAAAGTGTATAGTTTCAATCTACCTTTTTGGCTATCTGGAATAGCAGCTTAGTGGAACTTAAATTGAATACCAAAGTAGTAAGGTTATGTTGTGAAGTTAGTACTGAGGTTGGAGTAAACTCTACAAAGGCATAGTGGTTTAATGATATGCACTAACTGTCAGTGTTGGTCTCAGTTATAATAATACTGAGTTAATTGTAAAAATGTAATACAGAAGATTGTGAAAGGTTTAGTACAAGGTCAAAGGTT